GTGCAAAGTCGGTGTGACATAGAAAAATTCGCAGTGTTGACGAATAACGCGTAAATACTTTTATACGTTGGAGCAAGTAATTACATTAATTACTTTTATTAGAACATTTTCTTTCGTAGGCCATTTCTATTTACAATAAATAATGTACGCCAGTTCGTATGCGCCTTTCCTGGATACGATCCTGAAAAGGGCCCAGGCACTTTTAGCCGTTGATACACTGTTGGATATAATAAAAACATGGCGGAAAATTGAGAACGCTCAGATCAAAGGTGCCGACAGAGAGTGGGCATACTGGTTATACTGTGCCTCTAGTTTAATTCGTGTTTGTCTCTTTCCGAAGTAACAGTTGGAAAGAGACGGAGAACGAATTAAACCGAGCTTAAAGTTAAGCGAAACGTTGGTGAAACCAGGCCTAAGAAATATTTCAAGAGATATTTAAGATGATCCTTGAATATAAGAATTGACTGTGAACTAGCTTTAATGTGCACTCAGTGCGCACTAGTACAGAGTTGAGCGACGTTCGGCGAAAGCGAACCCAAGCGTTAGACGAATCGTATTCTCTACCGTCAGCCGCTGGTCGCGATTAATCGAGTCCGCGTCGGGACGTAACCTCCGCGGTTCTATTTCCGCGCGAGGATCGCGGCGGAGAGAATGCAGCAGGAAGACGGCGAGACCGCCGTGACGACGTCGTTCCGTTTTGCCGCGAGCGCGCGACTTCCGGCGCGCGCTCCACGTCAAGAGATCCTCCGCGAAATGAATTCTCATTCTGACGTTGGCGAAATTAGCCGATCCCTCCGCTCCTCGCGCGTCCCAGCACTTTCTGCACTTTCTGCACTCGAGACAAGACGGACGCGTATAATTGGGCGTTTAGAAGCGAGAAGGTGATAGTCCAGGGTGCAAAAGGTCCAGCTGTGAAGAGCAGACCTAAATGGAATTTTACTCGCGGTCTCTGCGCTTGAAATGCGCGAGGGCACGTGGAGAGGAAAGGCGATGGACGCGATGTGGCGCGGAAATTAACACAGGTTAAAGGCCTTCACACATAAAATTCCGTAGGGGCGTAAAACGTAAGCATAAGAAAATCAACAGATTGGATTTGCTACTGCTTGCGTTATTGCCACAGTATAACCAGTATGCCCACTCTCTGTCGGCACCTTTGATCTGGGCGTTCTCAATTTTCCGCCATGTTTTTAATCGCCCCAACAGTGTATCAACGGCTAAAAGTGCCTGGGCCCTTTTCAGGATCGTATCCAGGAAAGGCGCGTACGAACTAGCGTACATTATTTATTGTAAATGGAAATGGCCTATGAAAAAAATGTTCTAATAAAAGTAATTAATGTAATTACTTGCCCCAACGTATAAAAGTATTAACGCGTTATTCGTCAACACTGCAAATTTTTTAATGTCACACCGACTTTGCACTAACACACATACAAAAATCCTGTGATTGGTCATAATTAGAACATGTCGGATGCGCAGTACGGATCGGCGCGAACGTGAAACAAAAGAGCGAGTGCCCATACTTATTATACTGTGGTTATACTGTGTTATTGCCTTACGTTCTCGACTGTGATTGGTCGATTTTCTTATGCTTACGTTTTACGTCCTTACGGAATTTTATGTGCGAAGGCCTTTACTTGTACGCTGGGAGTTTTAGAGCGGAAGCTAACGCTCCGAATGCTCGGCGCTAATCACGAATTCTGGTCGTCGCTGCTGGTCGAGCGGGGGGTTCGGTGCCGTCGGCCTTTGCAGCGGTTTCTACACCCGAGTGTAGAAAGGGGTAGAGTGAAGAAAGAGCCACTCGATCGGAATCGCTCGCCGCGGCGTTGCTGTCGCGCGACGACTTGACCCCGCGTTTAAATTCCAAATTCTCTTGTCGGCGGCTTCACTCGTCGCGCAATTTCGCCCACGGTGCTTCTGGGGACGCGCCAATCTTCGTCCCGGCGGATTCGTTCCATGCTTCGCTGCGGTATTCCGCACTGGCGCTTCTCACCTGCACTCTCTACACCTCTCGGCCTTCTCTCCGCTCCGGCGCGCGTTTTTTTATATTTTAAATACAAAAAGAGTTTGCGTCAGACGTGCCTCTTTCCAAAAGAATGCGGATAATACTTGAAATTCAAGTCTGTGAATTGTTATCGAATCACAAAAGCAGACATAAACACGGCCAAGTTTTTACCTCACTTTGATCTAAAATCCGTTTTCTATAACTTGGCAGTCTGCGCGCAATAATAATAATAATAATTTTGCCCCGCACTGGGCATTGGTAGGCATTGGCGTACACGATTTTGGCCAGCGGTTTACCCCTCGTAAAATTCTATGTGTTAATTGATGAACGTCGCGTTTGCCTCTTTCCTCCCAATTCCTTTTCATTCCTTGCCGTCCGTTTTCTCTCTGCAATTTCTGTTTCTCTCCGTTCGTTCAATTTTGCGCGTCTTATCGCTTTCCATCGCGCGCGCGCACGAACGTACCGTACCGGTTCCGCCGCCGGTGGAATTGTCGATGGCCTCAATTATCGAGAATCCCGCGATAAACGACGGCGCGCAACGCGAACCGTGTTATTGAATAACACGTATGAGCAACGTTATTCGATACGTTTCAGCGTACACGGGGATATACGGGAGTCACGCCGCGTGCGCGCGTTGATTTACACGTGTGTCAATTCGCCGCTTATCGCGAGCCGCGCGAGAGACGGTTTTTCCATAATTCCCGACGACTCGGCGCGGCGAGGGACGCCGCTGCTCTCGCGTTTATCGCGTTACGGCACTAATTATGTAGGAAATACGATCGAACCTCCGGATCACCGCGGCAATTACCTTCGCCGTCCCTCCTCTCTCTCTCTCTCTTCCTCTCTCCTCTCCTCCAGTTACACATACAATTTCCCCCGCAGGAGATTTCCGCATTACGCTAAATATACCGACTCCCCGTATCGATCTCCGACTCGAGTTAATCTCGTGGAAAAGCCATTTATCATTGCTTTCTACTTTAAGTATTTTAACGTGGAGGGAAAGAAATTTCAATGGTTATATAACGTGGTTGTGAAACGTTCAGTGTTAAATATTTCAGCGAGCCGCGACTTTTGTAGAATACTCCGACTGCAATTTTTATTCGTTTGTTTATCAGCTGTTCTACCGCCGTTAGGGTCTATCCAGACAGTCTTGGCATAGGCGCGAGCGAACGCGTGGCCGCAGAACGGACACGTTCTTGAGTCTCTTGAAATTTTTTATTCCGCAGCCAATCAACACGCTCGAAAAATTTACCGTATGACAAATGTACCATAATACCGGCCTCACTCCGACGGCTATCTTGTATTCTTAAGACACAAGACAGTTACTGTGCGCTACTTTAAGAGAAAGATTTAACACACCAAACATTGTCTTAAGGAGTCCAAGACAGCCGTTCTGCTCAGGCCCTAAGGGAGAAGTGAGAGATAATGCTCGAGATAGCACTGCTCCGACCTGGTGACCCTGTAATCGAAGACTGGCCAGAAGAGTTGGTCAAATTCCTACGATCCTACGATCGTAGAAGAGCGAGATAGTCTATGTTTCTCTCTCACTCGCAGAGAACTTGACGAGCTCTCCTGGCCAGTCTCTGATTACACGGTCTCTGCTCCGACCTAGATACGACACACTCTCTCGGTCGCGCGCGACGAAATGTCAAAAGTTTGGGCGATTAGGTCCTCCACTTCTCGTCCCGTCGACAGGGCGCGGCGTCCGCTGAAAAGCGCGGACATCCTGTTGCCGCGTTCTCCCTCGCACGGCATGAAAGTCCGCCGAGGGAAAGAAGGAGGACTCGCGCGCCGAATGCAGATGGAAAGCGGAACGACGGCCGTTCCGAAGATTGCGCGTAATTACGTGCCTCGGCGCAGAAAGGAAGAAGGGAAGAAAGACGCGAGTGGACTTTTCCGTTTACCTGCGAACGCGGCTCCGATGAAGCGCAGGAAACCACCGCCGCGCGACGGTTCATTCCGCATTCGTGGCGAGAAGGACGAATTTAAATGAGGCACGGGATGAACCTGGACGAAAATAAAACTGATCGATACGCGGATGATCGCGAGGAACGGTCGGGATCACTGTGGAGCGCGCTTGTGCGCTTCCACGGGCTCTCGCGCCTCGCGCCATTGGGACAGCGGAACCAATAATGACGGGAGCTCTCAAACAAATTATCGCTCACGCGGCCTAATCCGCCTATCACCGCCAATAAATTGCCGTCCTTGGATTCGCGTCGCGTTCGCGATATCGCTCGATCGTCAACGTGCGCGCGACGGATGCAGGCCCGTGAGTAACGCCAACGATTGCCCCGCCGACGCGGCAGAAATCAGTTTCCCTGATAATTCTCAGTCGCGGTCTCTGGGCGCCGATAATGACCGCGGAAGCGGAAGTCCGATTCCGAACCCTTTTAATTAACGAGCGGTGGAAATGATCGACTGGCCCGGTCGACGCTCTGCGGTTTTGTCTCCTGCGTTTTATTATGTTCGCGACTCCGGTCCTCGCGGCTGAAGGTTTCCTCGCCAATTCCACCGGGGAATTAGGGAAAGAGCACAGGGAGAGACCTTGAACGCCCTTAATTACTCCGAAAAGCGACTTTAATTAAATGTAATTGAATTTAATTATCGGACCTTGCCGTTGCGTACTTTTAAAAGGATGTGTAATACGTAATTTAGGTAGATTAATTATTGTAGATACCCGCTTTTAATTATCACGCACGTTGTGTCGTTTCAGCAAGTTCAAGGCCCCGTCGCCGGACGAGAGCTACGGCCGCGGACGAGACTGGAATGTCGACTTGATACCCAAATTCCTGATGGCGAACGGCCTTCTCGTCAAGCTGCTCATTCACACGGGCGTGACGCGTTACTTGGAGTTCAAGTCGGTGGAGGGCTCGTACGTCTACAAGTCGGGCAAGATCTCGAAGGTGCCGATCGACCAGCAGGAGGCCCTGTCCAGCGATCTGATGGGCCTGTTCGAGAAGCGGCGGTTCCGCAGCTTCCTCATGTGGGTGCAGAACATGCAGGAGGACGATCCCAAGACGTGGGACGGCTTCGACCCCTTCAACAACAGCATGAGCGCACTGTACAGCAAGTTCAGCCTGGACAAGAACACGCAGGACTTCACTGGACACGCGTTAGCGTTGTACAGGTAACGGATGCCGGGGACCGATCTTGCAAAATTAAAAGACGCATCTTTAAAGAGTGTGTTTAACGTCTGTCTTTTCACCAGGGATGACGACTACATAGGCCAAACCGCGATCACCACCATCAGGAGGATCAAACTGTACAGCGACAGTTTAGCGCGGTACGGAAAATCGCCGTATCTCTATCCGATGTACGGTCTGGGCGAGCTTCCTCAGGGATTCGCGCGTCTCAGCGCCATTTACGGCGGCACGTACATGCTGGACAAGCCGATCGACGAGATCGTCATGAAAGACGGCAAGGTAGATGTCGCGTCCGCCGTATCTCTGCTAACTAAACGTAAACTTGGTCACTGAAATGAATTGCTGTTTCGCGCAGGTGGTCGGCGTCCGTTCCGGCGACGAGGTAGCTCAATGCAAACAAGTTTTTTGTGATCCTACATACGTATCTGATCGTGTGAAGAAGGTCGGTCAAGTGATACGATGCATATGCCTCATGGATCATCCTATACCAAGCACAGCTGATGCATTATCCACGCAAATCATCATTCCTCAGAAACAGGTGACTATAAATTTCACCATATGCATATACCTAGGAGGCTTTTAACAACACGCAGTCCTCTCTTCGATTTCAATAGTGTCGAAGAGACCTTTTCCAATCTTGAGATCCAATTTAAAGTTATTCATTCGCGTAGGTGTGTTGTAATATCTTATACCTTTGATTTAGAAAAGCAATTAAATTTTTCCTTCCTCAGGTCGGCCGCAATTCCGACATCTATGTGTCCCTCGTGTCGCACACTCATCAGGTTGCGGCGAAAGGCTGGTTCATCGCCATGGTCTCGACCACGGTGGAGACGAAGAATCCGGAGACCGAGATCAAGCCCGGTCTGGACCTGCTCGGCCCGATCAAGCAGAAATTCATCAGCATCTCCGACTACATGGTGCCGGTAGACGACGGTCTCAACAGCCAGATATTCATATCCACGAGCTACGACGCCACCACGCACTTTGAGACCACTTGCTCGGACGTGCTCGACATATTCAAGCGCGCCACCGGCGAGGAGTTCGACTTCAACAAGGTCAAGCATGAACTCGGCGACGAGGATCAGTAACCGTAATCACGAAATGCGCACGTGCATATATACCACACGACATTACGGGGGAATCGAAGCGCCCAGTGTATTTGCGTATTCGAGTAAAAAAAAAAGGGGAAACGTCTCTCGACGATTGCCGACTGCGTCGGCATGCGACAGTGTCTCAAGGCAGATACCACGGAAACAAGTCACGCTGCGAGCAGATCCGTGCCTAATTATGCAAAATCTTTGACAGAGGATGAAACACGGCGGCAAAGTTGGCTAAAAATTTTCTCTATCAAATTTCTCTGTCTCATTATCCTCCTAATCTCGTCCCGCTGTTCCCCGCAATGCAGTTCCATCCGAAACGCACGAATCCTCCGCATTCACATGGAAACGAAAACTCTTGGACTCTATTTCTACGATTTCGAACACCGGATTATATAAGGTTAGATCCTCTTATAAATTTATATTTTACACGAAACATAAATTCAATCTGCCAATATACATTCGAACAGAGAACGATAAAAGAAGGAAATAAAGATGATCGAGATGTCCGTCACAGCGTGTATACAATACTTGTGTACCATATTTTAATGTGTCGTGATAAGTGAAACGTTTATCGGCAGATTAAATTGTACAAAAACAAAGTCCACTGTAGCAACGTCACGTTGCTACAAAGGCTACCATACAATTGTCAAACTGACGATCGATCGACGATACAATATAAGTCTCATATCTCTGTTTAGACTAGCACCAATTCTCATAGCTGTAGAGATACTTCTGAAGTCTCGGTCGTTGTGAATCCGGAAACATTTACCGATATTTCAATGTTAATTCTAGGTTGTTTAAGTTGCATTTATCATTTCGAACAAAAGAATCGAGCCATGATTTAGTTTTATACGAATTGCCAAATGACGGGCGAAAAGGATATTCCATTGATAACTTTCCCTTGCTTATTGACCGTGTAGCAAAATTAGGGGTAGCAAGATAAATATATATATAATGCGTTATTCGATGTGTACTCGCATATATAATTGTAACTATGTTTCATCTTCCACATCCGTTTTTCTCGTTAAAGAAACGCTCGTTTTAGGAAACAAATCGTAACTATCGATAGCACGATTATCTTCAACGTACGTTCAAAAACGAAGTTTAGGAATAGGGAAGTCGCATGCTCATACACGCTTGAGACAAAGTCGATGGCAAGTAGGGGGGGGAAAAAACGAAAAAGCAAACGAAGGTCGATATCGAAAGTCGTTGAAACGAAGAGGGATATCCGGAGCGGCCAAGCATTTCATTATAGATATATTATAGATCTATATAGTATATATATTATATATTACAAAAAGATATGTATACATATATATAAATATGAGAAAATGGAGTCGTTGAAATATTGTTGTTTCGTGTGAGCTTGAGATCCGAGATACTTCATTTGCATAATAAATCATTATTGTATCTGACGAGGAGAGGACGAGTGAGTGCGAACATTTGCATGCGCAGTCGAATTGACTTAACGCCGTGTGTGCGTCGAAGAAGAAACGAATCGGCCGTTTGTCCTAGATTCACGTTTTGCTTGCACTCTCGCATGGGTTCACGATGGGCACACGCAATTTCACATCGGGTGGGGAAACGGGTATAACGGACACTTGTCTCAACTGCAACGGATACGTCATTATCCATCAACTTGTAACACGAGAGCTGAATGGAATAAACAATATTGTATTAACCCAGTGTACAATTAGTGACTAGTTACAAAAAAAAACGCCAAATGACAAAACTGTCCACAGCGTTTCCGTAGAGGGAGAACAATAAAAAAAAAAGACTAGTTTAAAAATCGAAAGATGCGAAGAGTCTAACAGTCGCATTCATACACAGTGCGAATGCTCGTATATTGTGTACGCATTTAACTAGCAATAAGTTTCAAAACGTATAGATTGTTGTCTCTACAACCCAAGACTGTGAGATCATTATGAACGACTGGCGAGGAAAACGTTTCGCCGGGAAGTTGCTTGGTCGCTAACAATTTGCCGTCTAGAAGATCGAACACTTTGAAGGCGCCGTCTGTACACGCTACAAACGCGCGTCCTTCCTCGCACCAGGAGGTCGCGAAGATAGGCGACTGCAGTTTCAACGTGTACCTCAATTTCGGCTCATTCTCTTCACTCGTCCTTCGTGGCACTTCTAGGCAATAGAGATTTTTGTTATGGCTAGCTAATATAACGTGCTCGTCGCTCAAAGACTCGGGAGTCCATATCACAGGGTACGAAAATACATTGCCGTGTATCACGTACCGCCACACCTGCAATGATAAAAGTAACACATCGACAGTAACACATCGAGTGATAAAAGGAAGGAAGACGTACGTTTACCTGGCAATCGGCTTCGATATCGAAACAACACAGTGTTCCAGCTACGGAACAAAATAAGGCGTATCCAGTCCGGAGAACAACGGGCGCGACGAATACTGGATCCTGCAACTTACGTTTCCACGTAATACGTCCCGAGGATTGCTGCAGGGCCAGGCACGAGCCATCTAACGTCCCGAAAAGAACCGAAGTCGATGATTGATGCAAACAACCGGTGGCACAAATTCCACCGTGGCTCGCTTTAGTTTTCCAGATTTGAGTACCATCCTGTGAAATGACGTAATACTTTGCAGATAAAACACAGATCATTTATCGTGCGATTTTAATTAATAACGCCGAGACAGATATGGATAACAAGTGCTTATGTCACCTACTTTTGTCGAAAGACAATACACATGGAAGTCGTAAGAACCTACGAATATCTTGCTCCCCTGCACGCATGTTATCGCCGTGCATTTAACCATGTCCTGTGTTCGAAACTTCCAAATTACATCACCAGTTTTTAAATGAATACAGTAAACGTACCCGTCGTAACAGCCTGCGATTAAAATCATTCATTATGTCGCTTGTTAAATGTTAATCGTGAAATTGCAATATCGATATGGCTCACCTACGATCCCGCGAAAATCGGCTAGGGCTAAGACAGAAGCCTCTATTCTATCCGGCAGTTTCACTTCATACGGCGCACCGTCGGTTTTTAGCAAATTAGCAGTACATATAATGCCGGAATGTGAAGCGACTGTTGCATACAGTTCTGCTCTAAAAATCAACGAACGTTATATACATTATTTTGGGGGGTTTTAAATTCACTCTCTGAAGTATTGATCAGACGATTGAAGGATTATTCTGCGATTTGTTAAAAAGTAATTTTCTTACGCGGAATAACTATATATAGTTGGCGAGGCATCGACGCACTTTTGCAAATTATAAGTTGCTAACACTTGAACGCTTGATATGTTTTCCAAGTGAAGTTTGATACTTCCTTCTTTCATTAATGCATCGCCATAAGTTTTCCCCCTGCACTTGTACCACTGATTAGACAGTTTCTCATTGGACGATAGTGGAAAATTCTTTCGCGATGGTTGCTCTAGCACACAATCCTCTGTGAACATCTCTTTGGGAAGATTATCGTTAAGGGACATATCGATGGAACGATCGACAGCCTTGCCGCAATTAATCAAAGTACTTTTGATATAATTGACGCATTCGTCGAATGTGAGGTCTTTTAACAGCATACCAATTAATTGAGGAAGTTCTGTGTTAAAGGCTTGAGCGGCAGCGCTTGATATCTGAAGCGCTGATATTGATGTACCGCCTGACATTAAAAAACCAGCGTCTTTAGATTTTATATGATTGCTCCACAAATTTTCAAATATTTCATTCGCGTTACTGTGCAAATCACTTACTCTTTCCGCTTCGGAATTTCTACATACTTCTCTCAGTGATGCCTGGCAAATCTTACCACTGGGAGTAAAGTTAAAGCGCTCTAGTATAATTATCTTGTCAGGCTTGTGTATCGCTGGTAATATCTTCAAGTGCGACATTACATCGCTTTTCAATTTAGAGAATTCTTCTTTCGTGTCTCTGGTAGATAAACACAGATATAGCTTGTGGCTCTCTGCATCCCAAAACGTAGCACAATTTCGTACAAAGCTTAATTCCGTTGTGACTCTCTCGAGTTCTCGTAAGTTTACTTTGTTTCCGAATCTTTTTACAACATTATTTCGTCTTCCTCTAAAAAATATTCCGTGATCATCTGCCTAAGAAAAATAGAAATGACAAATTTGAATAGCCACTCACTTTGCAATCTCGGATAAATTAGGAGATTTATTCTCCCAATAATTAATCCGCGAGCAGAACTTACTAAGACAATGTCGCCGGTATCGCGAAAAACTGGCTTATTCAGATCCTCCTCGGCTTCATTTCCAACAATACAAACCCTAGTAGTGCTTCCTATATTGAACATACGAAGAGTAGTTCTATATAAAAGTAAATTCCATAAAAATACTTGACGTACTATTGAAAAACGAACCGATATAGAGAGTGCCGTCGCCTCTAATTATTACTTCATTATCCTCATTCCTGATTTGAAATACAGTTTCTGATAAAGGTTCTCCTAAGCGAGGCTCGCCTACATTATTTTTGACGATTTCCTTTATACTAGACCAACACGATACTTCGGTTATACCATAGATGTTGAACAATCTGGTCGCATTCCGTGGATGACTAGCTTCCAAAAGCAATTTCACGCTAGGAAACGGTTCGCCACCCAAAAGAAGAATTCTCAGTTCAGAGTCTTTGTCCAAGATTGTTGTTCTCAAGTGGCTGGCGGACCACTGGTGGAAGAAAAGCGATGGAGTGATTTGAAGAACCGTTGCGCGAGCACAGAACATTTTCTCTAAGAGCCTAAAAAGTATTCATATCTCTGTACTGTGAATTCTATCTTATTTCATTTTTAGCATACATTTATTAGCATTCATTCACCTGACAGCTTCGTTCTTTAATGCTTTCGAAGCCATGAATAGGGTCGCGGCGCAGCAAAGGCTTAAGAAAATCTCGACAACACTGGGATCGAAGGTGAAATTTGTTAGTTGCGCGATTTTATCGGAGCTCGTTACGTCCAGGATTCTCTTCAGATCCGCAATATTAGGCAGTATGCAGGGATGCGGCACTTTGATAGTTTTTGGTGCTCCGGTTGATCCCGAAGTGGCAATCGCGTATGCAAAACGACACCATTCTCTGTTAGTGAAGTTTTCTCGGACGTCTGTTAATTTTGTCAAGTACACCGACTGTCCATGAATATCGACTTGGCGTATGGTCTCTCGGTTGGGTGTCATAGCTCTCGCAAAAATGTATCTTGCATTTACAGAGGCCGATATCTCTGCATACGCCAGCGGATCTGCAGGTACATTGAAGAAAGCGTGTCCGCTCTCGAGGATTCTGTCAAAATGTGAATTCAGCATAAGTTTCCACAACAAGTATTGTCTAATTAAGCGTTTGACACTATAGTTCAAGTACTAACAGTAATATGTTATATCTTACCCAAGCATTAAAGAAGGCACGCAGCTCTCCGAGATGTCAAAGTTAATACCAATAAATTCGGGGCGCTCTATAAATTTCAAGTGACTGGAAACTGTTTCTTTCGCCGCTTTCAGTTCTCTGTAACTTATAGTCTTAACGTTTTCCAAATCGTGATATTCTATAGCTGGTTTATCAAGATGAAGCCAATTGCATGCATTATGTAAAGCTCGATCACTCCTGTCGTATTGTACCTTCAGTCTCTTAGTACAGCTGGCTAAAAGAAATAAATTCGATAAGTAACACTGCGTACTTAAAGTGCATTCAAAAATCAACGTTGCTTTTTATTCCGAATAAGGAGATCTATAGAATTGGTTGCCTGTGTCAGTACTCACGTTGGTTCATGTTGCAGATTTAATTCACATTTATTTCTCTCGGCGATTCAACATACATCGGTAAAATTACGTTACAGATCAGTCGATATTTATTATATAAGTCGATAAATAATTATTTTTGTAACAAAACGGACAAATTTGGGAGCTATCGAACGTTTGTCCAAACTGAGTCTCATCGCGAGCTATGTTTTGACACAGAGGTTAGGAAATGTGGGTTCTCAACTTGTGCCACGTGGGAAACGGGAGTTGCAGGAGAGGCACTCCAACTTTTGTAAAACGTCAGCAACGTTTTTATATTAAAAACCTAGCTTGTCTTCAGGGTGCGTGCAGTAGAGAGCATAGAGGTGTAAATCATTACTTTTAAGTTTATTCAATATCAGTAAACCATACACATTATACTCTTTAAATATAAATTTATAATATTGTACTATATAAAATTGTTAGCGTTGTCTAACGTCGTACGCTAGAAGCTTGCAAACGAGGAGAGTTAGTGACATTTCCGGTAATATCGAAGATTTTCGGGTTTTAGGGGCTAAAGTGTGCAAGTGCAGTAAATTCACAATTATTCTATATTTATTTTAATTGAAATAAATAACAATCGTTCTACGCGAGATACATATTCGAACAGTGTTACTTGATTTTGACCACAGTTTTAATTAGAATCGTTTATTTCCTTGAAACCAAGAAATGCTGTCACCGACAAAAAAAATTTTTTCAAGAGAGAGACGGAACTCTGGTCAAGTTCGACTAATCTATTAACGTAATGAGAAGTTATTTCACATCAAAGAGATTTCCGGGCGAGAGATTACGAACGACTCCACCTATTTCTCCTCGCACCATTCATTCTCTTTGCGCACTTGTTCCTCCTCGGACGCTGTGAAGTCGTTCTTGATGTTGAACGTTTTGCGAATTTCCTCGGGTGTTTTGCCTTTGATCATATTTGCGACAGTTTTGCACGTGACGTCCAGGAGTCCTTTAATGTCTAGGTAGTTAGCCGCCAGGATCAATTCGAAGAGAGTTCCTTGATCCACCTGCAACATGCCCATATTATAAGTTTACAGAAGAGTCTAGCACCGTCAACAATGTTCACCGTTGTTCACTGCGACGTCAATATTTATTGTACACTCTCGCGCGTTTATATATTATTATGGCCGTCGCACTCACCTTTAAGAAGTCGGAATCCCAAGAGCTTATGTCGTCGGTACGCTTTTCTTTGTTTTCGTCGTCTTCCGGCGGCGGCGGGTCGTCCTTATGATACGTCGCCCACTGTATGACCTTCCTTAGGATCGCGGAATTGACATTCGGCAAAGGCACAACCTCCTCCTCGTCCTCATCCATACCGAGGTCCTCCAGCATGGTCTTGATGGTGACCGAACACTTTGCTATTTCGACGTCAACCTCGAACACCTCGCCGTCGGAGCTTTGTAACTTAATGTTAGGCATCTGCGCAAAAGAGAGATTCGGTTGGACAAGTCGAGCAAGGTGGTGCGGGATACAGGCTGGATATCCGACACCACGTGGTGTTGGCGAGCGTCATTCCATCTCCGTTCAACTTCCGCTGAACAACGCTCAGTCCCAACAAGGAACCAAAAGTAAAAAGCAATCGTGTTAGGTCGGAAATTAATTCTGGCGAGCGACAAATGGAACGTGTTCCAGGAGCTTGGAGAAAGCGCTGGCAAGCAACATTCAAATTCTTAGCAAGTTCCCAACGAAGCAAACTAGTAATAACTCGGCCAAAAAGTTAATTCGACGAAAATTATTCGGAAACCACGAGTGTCCTTTGTATTATCTTAAAAGACTCAATTAACATCCAAGTTGCAGTTTACCGACGTTCGCGAAAGTAGTCCATGCGTGTGCATAGAAGCATCGAGACTTCCTACTTCCGTTTTGCGACGCGTACAAAAACCGAGGGTACGAAAACGCGTCGCGCAGGCCATGAGAACCACCGCGTTGTGTCTCGAACGGCTCGTAACGATCAGAAGCGACGGCAAGTTTCTCCCGCGCGAGTCGAGAGCGGGTTGCGTCCACGTTACCGCTGGATTGTAACCTGAGCGTCCTCGAAAGGCACCAACGCGCCATTTTTATTGTTTGTTATTCTCGTCGTTTCGTCAGCCCGTTTTGTCGCGCGCGTCCTGTAGCGATCGGCCGGTGTCCCCTCCGCTCTTTCGCGAGGCGCATCCGTTAAACGGACGCAATCGCACCGAAGAGCTGATTACCTTTTCAACTACGCGCAACGTCGATTCGCTGAAGTGGCGTCTATCTCAGGTCGGTTTCCTCGCGCGAGTCACAGCGTTACCTCCTTCTCACCTCTAGCGTCGCTACCGCCTTTATTTCGGAGCCTGTTTTCCTAGCTGCCGCTCGATCACGTTGATCGATAACCTTCGATCAACACAGACAAGTGCCGAGCCCGTTTGTCCTGACTTGTCCTGAATGCGACAACCAACGACGACGAAAGACTAGCAGAGCTAGAGCAGAGATGAGAAGCCTGCTCCTCCTTCTGCGCATGTGCGTCGAGTTAGCGTCAGGGCAGTAGTACCTAAGTTCGGACTTGTGCGAATCCTGTCGAGGCTCCATTTTCACGCTCCTATGAAAGTTGTATAAAACAGTCGAGGAGATTGCAAAGCCAAGTAAAATAATATATACACATATACAATGCGGTTATGTATTAAATAATTTATGCAGAGCACTGAGAGTTATATAGAGGGGTGGAAAATGTATTTAAGGGCCAGTTTCACTAATATCGGTTAACTGTTAAGCCAACGGCACACGATACTATTTTTCTTACTGGATTGCTTACGAGAGCCAATCAGGATGCAGAGTTTTCGATCAGGTGGCTTAAAGTTAAATCCTGATTGGCTCTCGTAAGCAATCCAGTAGGAAAAATAAGAAGATTCTGGAGTAATTGATTACTAAACAACGAGACAAAACACTTTCATGTTATTTGGCAGAAATTGCAAAGAGAACGCTTATTAAAATTGTCAAGAAAACTTTACCAATATACACATAAAATAGAAGTACATTCTTTTAATGCAGAGCTGTTTGACTTATGTTTGTTTCTATCAAGGCAGTTTAACTTTACTCCTGGTTTAACTTACTTTTTCTAATTTTACGAATTAGAAAAATGATGACAAGTAATTTAAACCGAGATTAAAGTTAATCTGCATTTGTAGAAATGGGCCCTAAAAGCAATTCGTAATTCAGCTACTACTGTGTACGTTACTGAATTTCTCTGGCGCGCATGCGTAAAAAAAAGGGTTTCCCTTGCAACAATACAATATTTCCAGAAATTCGAGAATGTTCTATCCTGCGACCACCAACCGTGCTCGAAACATTTGTCATATGATGAATGAAAAGGAATCCTGCGACAAGGATATTGTGGAAGGGCAGTTTTGGTTCCTCATTCGTGTTGCCATCTGTTCTTCGGGGGCAAAACATTGCACGCGTAATTGATCGTCGTGCAACCAGATGACGCCACAAAATACTTTTCTCGCGTTATAAAAGACTGGCTGTATTTTTTGCATTTTTACCAGGGTTGGGAAGTAACTCGTTACTTGTAACGAAGTTAGTTACAATTACTTGTAACGAAGTTAAGTTACAATTACTTGTAACGAAATTAAGTTACAATTACTTTTTTTAGTAACTTTAACTTAACTTTGTTACTTTTTCTTCGTCTATAACTGTACAACTTTTATTTTTAGGATTAATGTTTAATATATACAAGAGGCTAATAGTTTTTATTAAGAAGCAGGTATAAAAACATGTTTAATTAAATTACTATATACTTATAAAATGCAATTATATATTACATATTTTATTGGACGTCCAGCATATATCATGGGCTGCCGTATTTTAGTCGCGTATTCCTAAAAGCGCGTTCGTCCGGTCGACAAATTTCTCGTGATTTCTGAAGGTCCGAAAGTGGACTAGATCGTTTATCCGGCCTATAGAAGACAAATAGCGCTTTATTGTCAAAACAAACGTCGTCATTGCTCTTAGAATCTAGAAGAGGCACATAGAAAGACTGAGTTATTCGAGCCGCACGTATTCACGCGTGTTTACGATCTCCCAGGACACAAAATTGATCCCCGATAGAAAAATAGTTAGCAAATTACGTGACGAAATCTGGATGAAACTTGGAATGCTGAAATTGTGCGTACATATTTCGAACGTGTGCAGAAATGGAGACCTTCCATCAAATATTGATAAACATTTGAACACAATGTATTTTTAAAAATTAAAAAAATATGTCAGCAAAACAGCTGCGTTTTGGCGAATCACCTTAATGCAATCAGTGTGAAATTTCCTCCTTTTGGACGATGCAATTATTACACCATATTCAACACATTTCTCTACCGGGGATAGGGAATATCTTATTGCTCGACTGACTCGGCCAAGATGCGCACAAAAAATGATTTATACACAAAATATATAAAACTGGAATTAAGAAGATAAAGAAGAGATTGTCATATATATATTATATTAAAGAAAATCTCTCTCTCTCAATTTTTCAGTTTTCCCAGCTAGAATAATTTCTTAGAGGTAGAACGTGTGGAAAACAAAAGAAAACAGCCGTTTCGAAGGATTCTTTCAAACCAAGCCGAAAGACGGCGAATTATCAGCTTTAATCCCTTAATTCTCACGTTTCGGTGCTCCTCGAAAGTCCTTCAATAAAAGATTGCGGCGCGAAATAACGTCGTAAATTTCGCGAGGTCGAGAGGAGCCCGTCGTTACCGCGATTATGAGTGTCGAAGTCACCGACCTTTGTCACCCGTGCGAACGCGTCGTCGTAATCATCTTTCTCTCAGTCTCCCCCCGTAGCAGACAGAAGGATCGAACGTGACGCCGCAATTTTTGGAGGCCACAGGATTACGCAGAAACCGCTTCGGCTCCGGGAATCTATAAAGTTCACGATGCACGCGGAATGAAGGGCCGGCGCCAGCGCCCACGCAAAGCTCACATAGCCATAAACACGTGCGATACACACATATATAAGCTGTCCGTCAGAAGCTTGCGGATTGACCCTCCGTCGGTCTCGCCCCATTAGAAAAAATCCGCCTCTTCGTTTTTCAATCTTTATTTGTACGACCGGGAATGGGGAGGACGTCGGAGAAAGGAAATCCTTTGTGTGATCACGATGACAAACTGGTTTCAAGGTCGCGAGAGTCACAGTACGGAATAAGAGTGAAAACTATAGCGAGCGAAACGAATGCGAACGAAATAGCTACGTGCTGCAATTTCCTAACTCGAGGCTAATCTTTGAAAAATTATTAAGACTTGGCAGTCAATGCTCAGTTGTTCAAGCAATCATCCAAAAACTGCTTATAGTTATTGCGCGTGTATGTGTGTGTGTGTGTGTTTGAATCGATTTTTCCTAAAACCTACTAGCGAATTTCCCAAGAAAAGTGGAAAGTCAAGATGATGTCAATTTGATGTCATATTGACCAAATTTATATCATATTTTGATGAATATGACATCAAATTGACGTCATCGGGACTTTTTATTTTTCCTTCAGTCGGTTGCTTGCACTAGTGCGCACTGAGTGCACACTAAAGCCCGATTTTACCAAACGTCACTTAACTTTAATCTTAGTTTAATTTATGTTTGCCTTTTTCTAAAGTACCTATATATAACATTTCAAAAGAGACAAAGAACGAATTAAACTAAATTTAAAGTTAAGCGACGTTGAAAACGAGCCTAAGGGTCGTTTATAATCAAGCTTATAGAGGATTTCGTCAAAAATGATCCATATGAACGCTGGACGGGCCATTTTTCTGGATAAAAAGCATTTCAAGAGGTACTTGAGATGATTCTTAAATATACAGTATTGTGCGAATTAATGTGAACACAGAGATTTTTTAATCAAATATCGTTTATTTAAAAGAACATGTTATTTAGGGTCTATTACAAGTGGTTATTAAACAACACAATAACCCAACACAAAATTTTGATTAAAAAATCTCTGTGTTCACATTAATTCGCATAATACTGTAGGTGAGCAAGATTAAAAACATATTCTCGTGTTTATGTCAGCGCAAGAATTGTTTGAGAGACCGGGAAAATAGTGCTGAATAATTGCAGTAGGCTGTTATTATTTTTAACTCGGTTTTTAATCTAAAATTAGAAAATATAGCGCATGAAGATTGTAGCGTGTAAAGTTCGTATCTATACTTTAGATCTCTGACCAATCTGCTGTTTTTTCATAAGAAATATACCGTTAATGAAGCATTAACGTTTTTAACTTAATAATTATTCAAATAATCGGGACTCAATATTAAACTCGGTGAACTTCTTGAGTTGAAATTTCGCTGCGTTCACATTAATTCGCACAATACTGTAAGAATTGACTATAAACAAGTTTTAGTGTGCACTCGGTGCGCACTGGTGCAAGCAACCGAATTTCACTTGACTTTCACCTTCGATCCCTTTGATCCTCCCCGACGGAGAAAATCCGATCGAGGAAATTAAAAAGGGAGACGGACTTTGACTGGTTTACAAGATTTGCATTGCGTTACATAACAATGTCGAGTAAGTTAAGCGGCGAGTTACACACGGAGGTGGCAAAGGAAAGGTAAAGGTTCGCGATCGATGCGTTTCCGTCGCGCGTGCTGTCATTCGGCGACCGATTGTCAACCAGTCGCTTGGCTGGTGAAGGTAGTTACGTAAGCGTTTAGATCGCGGCTACTAAATCCAATCCTCGGGAAAGTTGCGGGCGTGTTACAATGCGCTCTTTTGTCGAAGAAGCTACGAAAGTACGGGGAGCGAAATTATATCTGCGTTTGCAGAGTCGCGGAAACATGTGGCTAAAGTTTGCCGTCGTGATCGATTCGGTAACCCTGCTGTTGCGATTACTCGTTATTTTAGATATTCTTGTCCCTTTGTAAATTTTAGACTAACAGGACATTTTAATATTTCAACGGAAGCAATCTGGATTTCCTTAGGAGATTTTGTAGTGTCGTAATTTAAGGTGAAAATGAACGCCAATACTTAAATGACTTGTCTCCGAGATTAACAATGTCGACGACGTGTAGCTAATTAAACGTTTAAGATTACGCTTAAGCCATCGGATTTGTCTTGCTCTCTCCTCCTCTTTATCTCTGGTAAGAGAAAGTAGTGTAACCCTGCGTCTTTTGAGCGACGTCTCAATTTCTGTCGCAAAGTGATTCGCGGCATCTTTCGCTGCAACGTACCTAGAAAAGAATCCAACGTCGTTGCACGAGTTTAATACAGAAATTATACAATTCGTTTTGTAACTTCTGCGTTTGATGGAAGAGGGGGGGAGGGGGAAGACGAGCAAAGTTTTTCTTTCTTTTTTTTAAGAGAAGTGTTCCTCGCGTGTTACACGGTTTGGAAACAGGACACCATACGACACTCCCAGAATGCATTTATGTTGTCTGTTGATATTTCTGAATAATCTACCGTCGTTACAGCGGAATAAAATATGGCACGATATTAACTCGCGAGAGAAAACATCCCTATTTATTTTATGAAATAGGTATTTCAG